AAGGCCTAGGTAACCCTTTGGATGAACTACTGGGCATAGCTGTCTCTAGCATCAGTACCATCTTCCGGGCAGTTTTCAATGTTTAACCGGATACTTTATCACGGTTGGCAGCCCTTCTCCCTTTTCATCTGGGATTTGGCCCTATAGCGGCAAAGTGCAAGAATCGTTTAGACCTGATGTTTATTTTCAGTAACGGTAGTTTTGACTCGTAAACGGCGACACTTTCTGAAGCTGACTGGGCTGCGTGAGAAACTTTGTCAATCACTAGACTACGGGTAATCCTAGTATTTATGCGGCGTAATCTGACGTCTAGCGCGGATCGTCGCCGTGGTCACCCCGAATTTTTCATTGACATTTGTTATTGCAGTCTAAAGCTGGTCTTGCTTAATGCTTACTCGGTTGTTGTCCATACTTTTTGGACGAAAAACGTTGCTGGTGTCTATTACGTGTGGATTATACTCCGCTATTCTCGCCATAGTAAACCAACTGACTTCACCTGTACAAGGTCCATCGTTGTATAAATAGATAGAAAGTTAGCAAGCAGCGAAGGGACAAAAAACGTAAACCGACTCGGCAGCGATGAATATATCGGCAGCTGAGCTGCACTTATGCTCGATGTATGCGAGTCCCACAGTTCAGTTCAACAAACCAGGAATGGTGAGCAGTGGAAAAGAGTGAAACCGGGGTAAAATTTCTGCCCTCGGAGAATAAAACGACCGTCACGAATCCGTGTGCTGCCAACTTTGTTGACAACCCATCAAATCAACGATGGAACGCGAAAACGATTTGTATCGGCAAAGTTGTGTGGCCGGAAAAAGACATTTTGGCGAATCGGAACATGCAGCACATACAAAAACCGCGTAATCGCTTGCTAAAGCAGACTTGACGGCATCTTTATGTATACTTGTTTTCGATCCAATCAAAGGGAGAAACGAAACACGCATCAAACCAAACCATCGACTATACCCGCATGATTCTCAGTTAACACATTCACTGACCACTTGCACAGCTGTGATCTGCGGAACGACAATTCTGGCCAAAATGATTGGCCAGCAGTGAATGCTCCCCCTTTTGTCGAAGCCGATTGGTTGCCACACAGTATTCTCCGATGTGAAGGTAAAATTGTGCATCAGGCACGCGTAAAATAAATCTTCTAATGGACTTGCGACGGAGTGGTCTTTTTGGCGATGGTAGTGGACCCTCGGGCGCAAATTGACCATCGTTCGATGATGCTCCCGTCGACGTTCCCCGTGATTGGCGCGCATAAGAAAAAGCGTAAAATCAAACAAACTGTCCGTGTGTCTTTGGACTTGTTCGAACCGACCAGGCGAAAATGTCCCGAATTCGACGTCGGTGCCTTCGTTGCCGACAAGCTGGTATGCCACTCTTGTGTCACTGTTCTGACGTTACCTGACGTTTGACCATAGAACGAAAGTTAGATGATGGATCCCGCTTTGCCTAAAATCTCACGTTCGCGAATGGCCATTTTGTTTGCTCTTTTCCGTGCTTCATGTCTGTGTGTGTCTGTCGGTCTGTCTGTGTGATTATCGTTTCCTGGGCGCACAAATTGTGGACGCCATCTTGGATTTTATACAATTGTTGTTTGTAGTACCACAGTAATCGATCACGTGCTATAACCGAAACGAAGGAAATGGTTCATTTCAATGTCTGCTTGTGTTCGCCTGAAATATTTTCTTCCTCGACATTTTCCTTCAGCTTACTATGCATGAGTCACACCAGTTTTTACTAGCGAATTAGAGCGTCAGCCGTTTCGTTTTACTCGCGGTTCTGTGGTTTTCGATCATCTTACTGTTTGCGGTTTCTAACTACTGTTTGTCTCACCAGTGCGTTTTCTTGGCATAATTTTTTTATGATAAGCATAATCTTAGCTTGTTTTCACGCCTTGAAATCGCAACCATTCTGTTGAACAGAATTAGACAAAACTGTTGTGAATGGTTTTATTGTTTTTGGTGTTGTGTTTTTTGTTTCCTTCGTATATATTCAACTACTGTTCACACACAGTCCTTCGTGTAGTGCGCTGCAATGATATCGAACGGAGGTGGCGCCTTCTTTGACGGTTGGTTGTTCGACCAGTGAAATGGAACGCATTCTGATTACATTAAACAGCCGTATAAAGCTAACTGCAGCAGGA